TATGTTGAGAGTATTCTCGGAAGAACACGCCGAACACAAATAGAGTGTCTAGAGCGAATAACGCAAACAATGCCACCGATCTGTGCCTCTAAACTTTTGCACATGATGGAGAAAACGAGAAATAATTGAAAATTTTGGGCATAAAAAATTTAAAAATGCAGCAAAAGAGCTTTCTATAATGAATAGCCCTTACCATACCATTACAGTACTTCCCTCGCACGGCCCGAGCGGCAAGTCAAGCTAGGAGCATGGATACACCGCATTCATCGGATGCAATGAGGGACGCATTGATGAGAATGATTGCCAATGAATATTCGATGGCTAGATACCCAGATTGGCCCAATTTGGCCCATATCTATGTAGATGGGTAAGGGAAGGAAACCTTCTTGAGGGATTTTTTTCGTAAATTTCAATTTTCAGACGAACTACATACGGACAGCTATGGGATGGTATCCCGGAATCGGCTGACTATCTGGCTATCATATTTGAAGAATATGATGGCGTGGGAGTACAGGTAGGTATAAAAATTGAAAAATGTCTCTGTTCTCACTTTTGAGTGAATTTGAGTAAAAAAATATCAGAAATCAAAGATACGATTACAAATAAATAGCAGAAAGAAATTTTTGCAATGGGGCGTTGACGATGCTCAAAAACATCTTAAAGTTGAAATACCACTAACGTGCGTATTTGATTTTCGTGCACATGGTGTAATTGCGGACATAGACTGTGTCCACAAAACGTGTAAAAGCTTGTATGTCCGACAATACAAGTTTCAAAACGCGTATGTCCGACAATACAAGTTTCAAAACGCGTTCAATATTTCAGCATGAAAACATGCCAAAACAAGTTATCAGCACGTTAGAACGGAAACAGCTCTTTCTCGTAAGCCATGTTTGCGGTGTAACTGCACAACTCACTATTTTTGTGATTTCTTCGAATTACTAAACCACGGGATGAAGTGTGAAGAGTCTGTTTTTGAATGAACAACTTTTTCGAAATTCCAGTATAGTTCTTACCCCTGAGACTGGATACTATAAAAATAAGTGCAGCAAACAGCAACATCAAAATTTTCTATTCGTTATTATTTCAAATTTGCAAAATTTTCAAAGTTTGTTTTTATGTCTCCAAAAGTGACAATTTTTCTTGGGAAAAGCGTGAACGTTATATTTCTATGTCTCATCTTCCAACAAATTTTCTTTTTCGCATTATCAAGGGCTCTCTTTTTTGAAAGAAACGTTGCGGAAGTCCTGTGTAGATGAAAAAATGTCCATGTCCCAGCACTTGCAAATTTTTGAAAAGAAAGCGAAAAATTCGCGATCGCCTCCTTTTTTTCCAGACACAATAGAAAAACCTGTTCGTGTCGAAAAGCCCATCGAATCTACCTGATCTCGCTTGAACTCTTCTTTGTCCTTGGCGCAGTGAACTTTTCGCACCGTCTCCATCTAAAAATGGTTCGCCGAACCATAATTGCTGCGAGATGTGCGACATTTAGGTTTTGCGCAAAACACCTCTTCACATAAAAGTTAATCCGGGGGTGATTATCCGAAATTGCGCATGAGTTCGCGAAACAATATCCCCCAAAAATGGAGAGGGGACGTGTATTTAGCATGGAAGTTTTCAGTTCATTCTGGATTTGTCTTCACGACGACGTATGGTCGGAGCCAGAAGGGCGCTAGCGAATTCGCCATTGGTGCAGATGCTTAGAATCACACAATTTCCAACGGTAGCACTGTTTAGGCGTGATCATCAACAAGCGCTTTATTTGC